TCCCCAACCCTGACAGAGCCACCTCGGTATCCCTGTCAGTGACAGAGCCACCCCAGTGTCCCCCAGCACTGACAGTGTCACTGCTGGCTGTCCCTGTCAGTGACAGTGTCACTGCTGGCTGTCCCTGTCACACTGACAGTGTCACTGCTGGCTGTCCCTGTCAGTGACAGTGTCACTGCCGGCTGTCCCTGTCACACTGACAGTGTCACTGCCGGCTGTCCCTGTCAGTGACAGTGTCACTGCCGGCTGTCCCTGTCACACTGACAGTGTCACTGCCGGCTGTCCCCTGTCACACTGACAGTGTCACTGCTGGCTGTCCCTGACAGTGACAGTGTCACTGCTGGCTGTCCCTGTCACACTGACAGTGTCACTGCTGGCTGTCCCTGTCAGTGACAGTGTCACTGCTGGCTGTCCCCATCCCAGACAGTGTCACTGCCGGCTGTCCCTGTCAGTGACAGTGTCACTGCTGGCTGTCCCCTGTCAGTGACAGTGTCACTGCTGGCTGTCCCTGTCACACTGACAGTGTCACTGCTGGCTGTCCCTGTCACACTGACAGGGTCACTGCGGCTGTCCCCATCCCAGACAGTGTCACTGCGGCTGTCCCTGTCACACTGACAGGGTCACTGCTGGCTGTCCCTGTCACTCACAGTGTCACTGCTGGCTGTCCCTGTCACACTGACAGTATAACTGCTGGCTGTCCCTGTCACACTGACAGTGTCACTGCCGGCTGTCCCTGTCACACTGACAGGGTCACTGCTGGCTGTCCCCATCCCAGACAGTGTCACTGCGGCTGTCCCTGTCACACTGACAGTGTCACTGCTGGCTGTCCCTGTCACACTGACAGTGTCACTGCGGCTGTCCCTGTCACACTGACAGTGTCACTGCAGCTGTCCCTGTCAGTGACAGGGTCACTGCTGGCTGTCCCTGTCACACTGACAGTGTCACTGCTGGCTGTCCCTGTCAGTGACAGGGTCACTGCTGGCTGTCCCTGTCACACTGACAGGGTCACTGCTGGCTGTCCCTGTCCCTGACCGGGGGGGACACACGCCCCCCCGCACAGACCAGCCCCGAGCTCGTGGCCATCCCCCCGCCCGGGGACCCCCGGAGCCCCCCCGGGCTCATCCCCCCGCTCCCCACCCCC